AGCTTTATTGAGGCATAATTGGCAAATAAAGTTGTAATATATTTGGAGCATACATGGTGATGATTTAATATGCACCTACACTGTGAGGTGATCCCCACAATCATGTATATTAATACAACCATCACCTCAGTTAGTTACATCCCCCCACTTTTTGGGTGAAAATGTTTAAGATCTACTATTTTAGCAAATTTCAAGTGTATAAGACAGTCACTGTGCTGTACATTAGACCCCCAGAACTGACTCTCTTAAACTTAAGTCTGTGCCCTTTGACCGGCGTCTCCTCATTTCCCCCACTCTCCAGCTACTGGCAACCACCATCCTTTTCTCTGTTTCTTTGAGTCTGACTTTTTTGGGAGGTTCCCCATATAAGTGATCTAACACAGTATTTGTCTTTCTCTGTCTGGCTTATTTCACTTAGCATAATACCCTCCAGTTTCATTCATATTGTTACAAATGGCAGGATTTCCCTCTTTTTTAAAAAAATACTTTAAAAAATTTTGGTAGGGGTGAGATGATTAGGTTTATTTATTTACTTACTTACTTACTTTTAGAAGATGTACTGGAGATTTAACCCAGGATCTCGTGCATGCTAAGCATGCACTCTACCACGTGGGCTACACCATCCTTCCCCAGGATTCTCCTCTTCTATGGTTGAATAATATTCTATTTCTTAAATCCATTTAACCAATTGATGGACAGTTAGGTTGTTCCCCTATCTTGACTATTGTAAATAATGCTGCAATGAACATGGAAGTACTGATATCTCTGAAATAGTGATTTCATTTTCTTTGGATATATATCCAGAAGTGGGATTGCTGGATCATATGGTAGTTTTATTTTAATTTTTTTGAGGAACCTCCAGACTGTTTTCCATAATGGCGGTCCCAGTTTACATTCCCACCAACAGTGTACAAGGGTTCCCTTTTCTCCACATCCTCACCGATATTTGAATCTCTTGTCATTTTGATCATAGACATCCTAACAGGTGTGAGGTGATAGCTCATTGGGGTTTTGATTTGCATTTCCCTGATGATTAGTGATGTTGAGCCTCTTTTCATGTGTCTGACCATCTGTATGTCTTCTTTGTAAAATGGATGATTTCTTGATCTTCAGTCAACTATATTTTCAGGAATAATGTCAATCCATGCATGTCCATTACATCTAGTTTATCAATTGTATTATTAAGACTTCTATATCCTTGCTTACTTTTTTTATCTACTTGTTCTGTTATGGACCCAGAGACGTAAATTAAAGTCATCTGAGATGGTGTTTTGATCTTTATTTGCTTTAATATCCTGAAATTTCAGTTTTACAAATGTTAACATTGTGTAATTTTGTGCATAGACATTCATTATTTTTGTACCGATGGCACACTAGCATATAAAGAGTGCTACTCTAAATACTACATTTTGGTGCTAACTCATATTTTAATAGTTTTGCTATAAACACAGTTGTTTATTTTGTGTGTGTATTTCTTCTTCAGAAAATTTGTGGGAAAAATGGTGCTATGGCAGGTCTGCACTTGTCCCTCCCTCCTAGGGGATGCCTGAGGCACTTTGACTCCTGGCCAGAACCCTTACAGATAGAGACTGATAGAATTTACTAATTAAAAGATAAACGAGGGTGTTGT